CAAACAGTAGCAGCTGAACATGTCACTATGTTAACACACGCAAGTGTGGAGTCATCTGGCCCTGCCGTTAAGCAGAGTGAAGTGCCTGCCTTTGGCAGCAGATTTCAAAGGCCAAAAAATGTTAACTGTGCATCTTGTTACTATTTTATTTTTCCTGCCGGAGGCTGAGAGAGACATTTGTAGGATTTTCTGTTTCACGTTCCAAAATATCCTGCCTGGTTTGGGTCCTGTGTTGCTTGATTCGGGTGGGTGAGGAGTGCTCGTTACTGCTTTGCATCAAGCAGCAAAATGCCTGGGTCAGCCCTGCTGAAATGTAAAGAAGTGGAGTTCATCCTGGGTTTAAACATCAAGGCATTTGGAAATTGTGCTTCTTTTTCCTTGTCTCCAGTTTTTGTTGAAACTCTTGTCAGACATAACCATGGAACAATGAGGGCTAGAAACTTATGTTTTCTTCCTTCAGTTAAAGGGAATCCTAGAACGCACAGACTCCAGAAAGTTCATTTGGAGAGTTGAGGGAGGAGGTTGTGCATTAGAGGATGTCATTCCTGCTCTGCAGCTACACTGAATTATTATCAATACTGGGACTCAACATGGATACAAACAACATTCCTCACACAATAATGTTACAATGCCAAAATGAAATGCTGCACCCTTTGGTCCTGTGATCCTTTTGCTCTGGAACAGTTGTAAACCATCCCGAGAATTGTAAGCCATCCCCAGACATTTGGATGGGTTAGAAAAGCTTTTAATGTATAAATAAAATAAAACAAAAAATTTACAAATACTTGCATCTCAATAGATAAATCACACAGGCACATTCACCCTTCTGATCAATAATGCCAGTTTGCAGCCTGAGGCTTGCTATCTAGAGAGGCAGAGGACGTGAGCGAGGGGCATGCCATGCGGCCAGCACAGCTTGCAAAGAAAGCCTTTTTCAACACTAATGTAAACAAAAGGCAGATTATTCTGACTGGAAGGAGGCGAAGTGTGGGCAGATGCTGGGCACATGCAGCTCATTTTTTGCATTTTATTATGTATTTTATGTGGCACACTACATCTGACCACTCACATCGCGGCTGTGCGCATTAATCGTATGCACTGCAGTCCTTTCAGTGGAATCTACTGAAGATGCATATTCCATCTGAAATGCCAGGTTGGCCCTGTAAGTGAATGCTATAGGTTCCTGCAGAAACATTTGGTTCCAGCATTTGCCCATAGAAGGTAGTTTTGGTAGCAGGTCAGCTGCTATCACCTGCGAGAACTCCTCCTCCTCTTCCGGATCTTGATTACATGCAGGAATCCTTCCAGGTACGGCTGGACAGCCATCAGGGAGGCGTGCTTTAACCTGGAGCCCTGCATCGAGCAGGAGTTGGATCCAATGGCCTTACGGGCCCTTCTAACTCTACTATTCTTTGATTTTATGTTTTTAAGAAATAGGGTCTTTCTGGTGGCTGGACTTGTATCTTTAGGAATTCTTCTGATTGTGGGCCGTTGATCACAGCAACAACACATGAAGATGTCCAAATAAAGTTTTATCCAAGGTCCAAACATTTGTTGAACGCCTGACAAGCCTGAAGTGCAAAGGGATGTCTGTTATAGGATGACTGAAGAAGCCGCTGTGCAGAAGGAGGCAAAATGTGAATCTACTTGAAGGGCATTTCCGGCCAAAGGGTTTTCCACCCACCAGGTGTGCTGATTCAGCAGTCCTGGCACCTCTAAGCCATGTATGCCAGCCCCTGTGTTTATCCTTTGCTAGCCCAAGCCTGCACTCTGCCAGCCAGATGGCAGACTGAAGATTAGTAGGACTAGCATGGATGGTGCAACATCCCCCATCCCACACACACACTGCAAATCTCTCTCTCTCTCTCTCTCTCTCTCTCTCATTAATGCTCCACTGTGGCAACTCTTCTCCCCCTTCTGGTTCAGCATTTCAACATAAAACAGAAGTGGGGAGGAAGCTGATATTCATGCAAACCCTGAAAAAAACACCCTGAAAGCTGTTGGCTTCCAGAAGGCCCATGGTACTTTGAACATGTGACATTTCCAGGGTCTCATTCATCTGGTGTGTGAGCCAGGACCCTTCTCTGAAATAGGCTCTGCAACCATCTGCTGACTCTTGTGATATGCAAAGAAGTGTACAATTGCTGTTTCATCCATTCTGCAATTGGGCAGGCGCAGCGTTATAGTTGTGCAGCTTCCATGAGAATTATGCCTGAGGAATCATGATTTGTCTAATGAAATCTAATTCAAGAAGACAAGGTGGATGCTTATTAAAAAGCTGAACTTGTCCCAACGTTCCGTCCTGCTGGGGTGTGGGAGCTGCCCCACACCGAGTCAGGCCCTGGGGCCATTGCGCCCAGTCTTGCTCCCAAGTGTCAGGCAAGAGTTTTCCCAGCCCTACCTGGAGATGCTGGAACTGAACCCGGGACCTTCTCCATACAAAGCAAGTACCCTGCTGCTGAGCCACAGTTACTCTCCTTTGCACAAATAGGTACCTGCAACCCCACAAGTCTTTTTTGATTGCCACAAACAGGACAAGAGAGTCCTGTTTTCCTATATCTTTCATTCTGAAGGCCTTCTTTCTGCTGAACCAGCTTGCTCAAGCATTAAGATCCTTTTCAGAGATCCTGCCAAGGTAAAATTGGTGGCCATGTGACGCAGGGCCTTTTCAGTTATGGCACCTTCGCAACTTGGCACTTTCACAGTCTCTAACTTGTGATGGCATTTAATGCCATTCCATTCTTTTGCTCAGTTGCTGATCAAGGGTTAAGCCTGGAGCAGAGTTGGGGGTGGGACCTGGATGGCTTGCAGGTGGGGGGCAAAGTCCCTTTGGTCAAGAGTTTCCATTCCACTGGCAGGACACTGTTGGATCCAAGCCTAACACTGCTTTAGGATTTTATTATTTGATTGGAGGGTCTTCTCTTTTACAGAGGACAGTCCTTTATTGGAAGGTGTCCTCTATTTGGAGGGATGCCTGGTCCAAGTCCAATTTAAGGTTAATGAATGATCAGATAAGAGGTTCTGCTGCCTGTCTGGAGAGCAGGCTGGCCTGGCACGCAGACCACTTGGTTGCTGTCTTCTTCACTGTGGTGAGATGCACTGCAATTCTATTTGAATTATACCCACTGTTTCTAAATGGCATGTATACTTATGCATTAGCACATGCAAATTTTATGCACGTACAGCACTTTTGTCCTCCTTTTGGGTCAATCCCAAGCAGCCAGCCTAACTGTATTTCATGCTTTGGATATTAAAATAGGTTTACTGTTCTGGGTGGCTTGTTAACCATGGCAACAAATTCCCCTCGCCAGGGTGGCATGACATGGCAAGCCCCACCAGTGATGGGAATTGTGCTAATCCCTCTGGCATGCAACTGGCATGGGGAAATCCAACAGCATGGCTTCTTTCCCCCATTCCAATCATGTGAACCTGGTCAATGTCGAGCTATAACAAAGAGAGTCTGGTTACCTTTAGTAACCTCAGTTTTCCTAAAGATTAAGGTGACCTCTCCTGATCACTTAGAAGCCCAGAAGGCGCATATGAAAGATGGCCAAAAGGTGGAAGCTGTTCAGCACACCCTCTTAGGTACCAATTCTCAGTATTCCCAGCCTGTGGATTGCAGGTCTTTCTCTTTCTGAAATCCCCAAAGGCAAACACATGGAAACTAGTGGTGGAATCACAACAGTAACACAAATACTCCTGGAACATTCCTAGGAAATCTAAGCAAGCCAACGAAATAAATACAAGAAGAATAATGGAATTATAGAAATCAACAGATTAAGAGTGAATGTAGTCAGCAATAAAGCTGAGGACCTACAGAAAGGGGACAGAACTGTAGACATTTGACAGTCTCTTGTTTCTGTAACCATTTTATGTTTAACTGTTTGGACAAAAACCACAAGGGATCTCACAGCAAAACCTAGCTGAGCAACACCTGAAACTTCATCGCAAACCCACCAGACACCCTTTATCAAGTCTGGTAATTGATAGGTGATCCCTCTTATATTGGGAGGTAGGATGATATATTCCCTGTCCCACACTGACTTGAGACAAATGCTATACCATAGATGGCAGATATGCCATTTCAACAGAAAATACGCAAGAATGGAGCAACAGTAAGAAGAGATGGGAACAGGATAACGTCGAAGGCTTTCTCGCAAGTCAGATTCTTCACAGTGAGGATAAAGCTTTTTCCTTTTCTTTTCTGTGTGCTTCCTCCTCTTTTATAAGGGCTCAGCCTGCCTGCACTTTCAGGCTCTCCCACAATGCTTTGCTAGACTGAGATGCTGCCAAGCAAGCAAAGCACAGCTGTTCCAAATTAGAAGCAAATAAAATACATTTTATTTCTTCTTTTAAAAAGTGGATCTGAGTCATTAAGTGAGATCACGTCCACGTGTAATAAGGAGTACAATAAGAATGCTCTAGTTTTATTTTGGCGCAAATCAACAGGGACCCCAGCCAGGTTCTCCTATGATTACAAAGTTCTAAGCCTTTCACACTTTTTGGTGACAAATGGTTCTTCCTGGAGCAAGCCAAGGTAAAGTGTAAAAAGTGTGACATAAGGATCTGCCTTCTCAAGAAGCACCACCCGCCCCTCCTTTTGTCAGCCTGGCCTCTGTCAGACCACATCTTTGCCATTCTATAATCTAAATAAATGAAAGCATCTTTCCTCCCTTTTCAGCTGGAAACATCCGTTATTGCAACATCTGTCCTCTGGGGTCTTCAGAGTCCCATGACACCCTGTCTACTCATAGCCCAGATTATCATCAGAAAACCATTTTCCCATCCCGTAGCTGGAGTCAAGAACAGCATTCACATATGGGGCAGCTGTGAAAGTGCATAAACAATTGATGATAAAACACAGAAGTCTGAAATCTGAAACCAAGTTGGGACCGGCCATCTCAGGAAATTGGTGGTCTCTGTGCCTGCACACATGGAAGCATAAAGCTTCACTGCTCTTTTTCTAGGCAGCTTCATTTTGGAGTGAGAACACGTTTTACCTTGCTTATCCAGTGGAAGGAAGCGTGACCACGTGACTCTAGCTGAGGCTTGACCACAATGGACAGACATGGATGGCACCTTTGCTGTGTGGCTGCAGGTGGAGGAGGGATCCAGACAAGATGTTACCCAGCCTGGGTTCAGGAATCGGCTGTTAGATACCAGGGAAATGCCTTCCCTCACTCAAGCCAGTAGCTTCAACTGCATACTTGATCCCAGTTTGGTGCAGCATCACAGCCAGGTCCCCGTCTCAGCAGCTGCTGCAAACAGACGATTAAGCAGCATTGCAGAGAGGCATCATACAGACAGTGCGCCATATCTAAGTGGCTACATGGAATGTGGTGCTGGCCCAGCCTTATAAACCATTCAAGAGATCCAATTTCTCATACAGTGTGAAAATAGTCTTTGGCCATGATAGCACGTCTCAGCGACAGCCACTCCGGATCGCTGCAAGTGCTCCAAGTGAGGCTAATTTTGAAGTCTTCGGTTCATAAAATGTTTTGTTTGGCCCAGAACACAGCCGACACGCCGCACCAATCCAGCAACAGTAGTGCTGGTAACTCCACTGCACCCTTCAAAGCGCTGGGGATGACTGGAACACCTTAAATGGCTTCAGCCAAGACACTGTAGTGACTGGCTCCTTCTTTATCATCTTGCCCACTCCCAAAGAATGGGAGGAGAGGCCCCCCTCTGTGCCTCAGTGGGGTGGAGCCATGCTTTGGAGGAAGAGAAAGGGCCTCCTCAGAATCTCAGTAGCTAAAGTCCAGTTAGGGAACACCTTGTCTGACTCGCGGCATGTTGTTGTGGGCCGTTTTATTCTGGCAGAACATGGCAGGATGTGGCAGATAATACTGCTGACCCGGCCTCCTTGGTGCATTGTTAAATGCTCTGGTTCTAGAAAAACATGATTCTTAAAGGTTGCAAACTGCCTGAGTCATGCTTTTGCTTCAGAAGGGCAGGACACAGATGTTTAAAGAATCGGGATGATGCTGGAAGGGCATCCTCCTGGACAAATTTAAATGGGGAAGGGAGTCCTACAGCCATGCTGGCTGGGTAATGCTAGGAGATGCAGGACTTTTTTCTTCTGCCAATATATGCAGAGAGTTTGGCCCTAAAATGCTGGTGAGCACAGCAGCTGAACACTCCTTCAATGTCAGTGGAAAGACTCATGGTGCAGGAAGAACACCCTGCTGCTGACCAGCTCCAGGTGGCATCTGGCTGCAGCCTGTGATGCTCCCGCACCTGAATAATGCAGAACGTAGACACTGTCTCTGGTAGGGCAAATACAGTGATGCCAACAATATGTTAGCAGTGTTAGCTTTAGGCAAAGGCTGTCGGGGGAGGCAAACAGAGGCGGTGTGAGTAGCTGGCCCACGCAGGACGAAGCCCCAGACGTTTCATTTGGAGCTCCTCATTTCTAGGAAGACGTTTCCCTCACCACCCTGCTGTCCAGAACTTTGCCCGAAAGAGATGGTACAGGGGGCCCTGAGGATCTCTGTGGCATCTGATCTGCCCGGGATCCATGTGCTTCACCTCTTGCTGCCCCCCTTCGATCTTCCTGCATGATGTTCCACCCCTCCCTGAAATCAAAGTGCTTTAGTGGCATGCACACACAGATACGCGCACACACACACATTAGAGCATAGGTAAATCAGCATATGCGACTTGGTACGCATTTCTGTCCTGCAGGCATGAAGGCCCAGATCTTTTGGTACCTTGTGCTGCTCCTGGAGACCAAGGAAAGAAACTGTTTCAGAGGAGTGTCCTCTGTTTGAAAGTGGCCCTTATTTGAAGGGTTGTCCTGTCCAACGGTGGTCTTAAGAACCTACAAACTGCTGCCCACAAACAGCAGATTGAATGAGCAGGCAAATAGGCCACCTAATCACAGGGTGGGATCTACTGTATTCCTATTTAAATGTTAATAGCTTATTTTAAATTTGCACCTGCACATCTGTACATATAAATGGGCACAGGCAGATGTGTGGGAATCTCCCTCTTGTGGATGCATAGTCTCTTTTTTGGCAATTTATTTATGTCACTCTCCATCTAGAGGAAAAGTTCCCAGGCACCACAGTCAGGGGCTTAGCAGTTTGACTGGCAGCCCTGAGCCCCCTGAACTCACAAGGAGCCTGGCCTGCCCCTGGCAGGGGAGGTCTTTAAAATCCTGGCAGCAAATGACAAACTGAAGAAGCCGCATGCACTCACAAGTGAGCGCTGGGTGGATGTGCGTGCTTGTCCGTCATATGCACACACCAAGTGGACCGGCTGGCCAGATGTTCATTGCTCAGTGCAGGGTGTTTGACCTTTCAAAATGCTTGGCGAGTGCTCGTAATGAGCAACACAGTTACAATGGAGGAAATGACTATTGGAAACAATTATGGGTGCTTTTCTGTATTATGCATCAGCCCAGTTGTGTGACTCAGCATTTCTGATCTTGATTATTTTCTCATAACAAAAACAGGCAGCCTCTGAGGTTCTCAGAGCTTCGGGATGGGATGGTGTGCGCGGGCTTCTCGCTCTCCTGAATCCGTACTGACATGTGTGGATCAGCCTCCCAGGTCTGGCGTGGGCTCCACAGAAGGAGAGTGGCAGAGCAGTGAGTGTCTGCTCACAAGTCTAACACAGTTCTGAGTCTCTTCAACACATTTCTTAGGAGAGCAGAAAGCCTTCCTAAACTAAGCTTTCCAAGGGGTATGGGATCAAGTCATAGCACGCTGCCTCCACAGCCCCACCTCCATCCCATCCGGGGTTTAGAAAAAAGGCAGAAAGAAATTGCTTGTGTTGTTTAGGTTTAAAAATAAAATGAAACATCTGTTTGGCAAGGTGCCAGTAGTATAAATAAGTCTCAGAGCATTGATATTCACCCCTCTCACTGCACATGCTTCCTCTGCCCCCAGGTCCGTATTAAGGAACAGCCTCAGAGTGCATTAGGCTGCTTCCGAGCAGCAAGAAATCTTGGAACTGTTTGTGGGAAAATGTCCTTCTGTCTCTAGATGGGACAGGCTCTGAGGGTGTGAGTCCCCTTACCTGAAGATAGAGCAGGGAGCAGAAACAGGAAACAAGGGCTGAATGTGTCTCCACACAGCACAGTGTCTTCTGCTGTTATATGACGTGTGTGTGAGAGAAAGAGGGAGAGGGAGGGAGGGAGAGAGAGAGAATCTCATTCCCATTCCAAGGATGCTCTTCTGAAGCTTCCCACCACTCACACTCCGATCCCATAATTTCAGATTTGCTGTATGTGAAACTGCTAAAACCATGTTTCCTAAGTTTCTACCTACTGGTCCATAGAAATTCCCACTGGACAGGGGAATTTCTGCATCTTTGCATCTCTGCTCCATCCAGTGCAGGTCCTATTATAAGGCAGAGCAAGATAACCACCTTGGGCAGCTGATTTTGGTTGACAGGAAAGCTTTTATTAGCTTTTTAGTTATTTATTATTATGGTATTTTTACTGGGGGTGGTGGGAAAGCTGTAGGATTTTCTGCCAATGTATCTTGATCAGCACAGGTTCCTATGGCCCTTTGCTGGGGGAGGGGCCATCTGCTGCTCTGCTTTAGTCTTGGGCTGGGCTTGACCGGCGTGTGAATATCTCTTGGCAGCATCTGCAGAACCCGCACTTCAGACTCTGTCTGTCTTTCCCCACCCTGAACAGAATTTCTGGCACCAGGATGCAGGAAATTAGCCTGTCCATACAGTGACTTTTCTGTCTACATGTAAGCAACATGGAGCCATCCTGAGCCATGAGGACGTATCTGGGGGCATGGGATAAAGTTAGCATGAGTTGGGCTTTAAAGCAGTACAAGCAGCAACACTTTCCATGATTGCAAAGGCCTTTTTCCAGCCTCTGAAATCATGTAAATTGCTGCTAGTGCATTTGTCTCAATCTTTTCTCCACTTGAAAGTCATGCGCAGCTCTGGGTCTTTCCACATGCAGGGAAAGAAAATGCATGAAACAGCTATTCAGAAATGAAGAGAGGAAGGCCAGGAAGAAAAACTGCCAAGCACCCTACCATATGGACTTAGGTTGCAAGCATTCAGCTCCCTGCACTCTGATTCTAGACTACCATTTCATCTTTTCTGGTCCCTTCTCACTGACTTACTTTTGAGGTCAGAAACTAGTGATTGGCTGGTGCTTCGTCCCATTTTTAATGGAGGAAAAGACCCCACCCCACCTCCAGTTTTCCAAAGATCCTGGAATATGGCAGTGGCACAAGACTGAGCATGCCTGAGCACTCACATAAAAAACTCACCAAACACACCAGCAGTGCACAAGCTGTGGCCTCCAAGGCCTGAATTCCACACGTGCCCCAATGCATGTGAATTTCCTTTAGCAACTTTGATAGGGGTCACTCTTCTCTGGCTAGCAGCAGCAGTGAGGACATGGGATGCTGTATCAGGATTTCTGAGGGAATCCAGCACTTACAGTTCTGAGGACCACACGTGTGCATGTCCCCGCAGTTGTCCCAGGGAGCGCTCTTTCTGCACTGCCACTTCCAGCCAGGAAAGGGTGAGCTGTAGCAGAATGGCTGCGACATACATGTGCACATGTATATTTTATAAATGCATGTGTAGACCTCCCTGAGAGCCAGGAATGTGGACCCTGGGGCCAAAAAGCTTGTGGACCCACCAAAACGATCAATCCATGCGGTTTGTTTTCATAGCAAAGAGGGGGATGGGTGAACTTGGATTACCTTCTGCAACAGAGGTTCGGTACTCTCCATGCTGACGATATTTTAGAGATACTCATGGGGAAACACAATACAGCACGAACATCCGAATAAAGAAGTGTGGTGGACTGGAGCACTTGTCAAGCATCTCTGGCATGAAAGAACAGGAAGCCTAAGCCTGTCCTATGCAAGTGGGTTAGAAGTTAGAACAAGTGAAAATCAGATGATTGGTTGGAAAAATGGGTTCATCTGGTTGTGGGAATGAGGCTGCCTTCTTCCCATCATTAAAGATACCCTTCCTCCTACAACTAGAGCATAGAAGAATTCTAAAAGTTTTCTGTGCTACCCATTAAATCTGTTACTGTTAGAGGGCTGTGATTCATTATCTTGTATTAATTAAAGGAAAATGTTTTCCTAAGGAAAACATGGGTGGTGGGGGGGGGGGGGAGAGAGAGAGGAATATGCTACTGCTGCGTAGGAGTAACATTTCTTTCATCTGCTTAGCTAAATTGCTTCAGATTTGCCACTATAATGAAGACTAAACAAAGAGCAGATTGGGACAGACTCCTGTGTGCTGGCTAGCTGAAGTTATTCCCTAATGATAAATCATATGATGAGAAAAAAGAAAAGAAAAGGAACTGCTTTCAAAGTCAGGAAAATAAGAGATGATTGGGACATCCCTCCCTGAATTTCTATCTGTAATAACTAATGATAAGAAAACAGTTTCTAGACAGTAAATGAGATCTTGAAGAATATGAAACCCCAGCTGAATGTATAGTATTTCCAGCATGTATCATTCTCAAGTAATTGAGAACAATTGGTGTAATTTATTTGCTAGAGCCTTGTGAATATGTTTGATTGTATGAGGCTATGTATATGGCCCAGTGCAACATAATGCTATTTCCTTGCAAACAGTAGTTTGCAAAGTAGGAACCACCTTTGGAAACATACCCACCTTGCCTGCCCTCTTCCATTCTCCAGTATGAATTCCCACCGCCACCACCTTTCCAGATGTTACTCTGCTCAACTCAGCATAGCTTAACATTACATCTGTGTAGATATTGACTGTGATTAACAAACGCTAACCAGGATTCCTATTTTATCCACAATAAGTGGATTTTAATTGCTTAAAAGGTATTTTAACCCTCAGGATCTGGTCTAGGCAAGGCACCTCATTTCAAGGATTCTTAGGAAGAAACAAAACCACCCATGCCAAACAAAAAGACTCAGTTTACTGAATGCAGTGACGAACTATGGATGCAGAACATAAAGCATAAGAAAGCTTATACTTTTTTATGACCATATTGTTTCCCAGAATAAACCAGGGCATGGTCCACAGGGCTCCAAAGTTGCCCAAGTGAATGATATGGCCAAGAACAAAAAAACTAAACCTCTTGCTATGAATTTCCTAAGGTTCTTCTCTCCCTGTTCCAGAGGCCATCAGCATACAGGATCCACCTCCCTTCCTGGGAAACAGCTTGGTATGGGGTAGGGCAAAGCTGCTTCAGTAAGACAATGTTGTTTTCACAGCAACAGCAGCCCTTATCTACTGATTGATTGGGGAAAGAACC